TTAATAGCCAATCATTGACATGTTGCTGTTGGCTGCCACTAAATTTTGTTAAATCTTTCAATATTGTCTGCAGTAAGATGGCATCGACGTGCTCCATTTTTAATGCCACAATAAATAAATGCACGCCGGCTAGTGCACCATTTGCTAGCCTCCACAGATTTTATTCGAAAGAATAAAATCACACAAAAACGTCAAAACAAAAAACAACTGCCTCGGTGTGTACAAACAGACACTCTATATAGATGAAGAAAGAATGTTGACTCAAGAAGATCTGAGTCAACATTCTTTGTGATCATGAGAAATGAAACAGATGAAGAAAGAATGTTGACTCAACCAGAACTGAGTCAACGTTCTTTGTGATAATGAGAAATGGAAAAGAGGAAGAGGAAGGAATGTCAGTGACGACTGACATAACAAGCCCTCTGAGCGCGATGTCTTCATAAACTCAATTAAACAAAATAAATTACCAGAAGCTCTTTTGAAATCACTCAATTATGGTGGTGATAACGTTGATTACTGTTTTGAAGATAGACGAAATGAAAGTGGTGCTTCATTAGCATGGCGAAATTATGAATCGCAGGAGATTGAATTAGAGGAATACAATCCGGAGTGGTCAAATTTATATCAACAAGAATACAAAAAAATTGTAGTAAGGGACCAAGAATCTGAGCTAATCTATCAATTATTCATATGCTTACTCTATTTTCGTGTTTTAGAGCAGTCTTCGAATAAGTAAATACGGGTCCAAAGATCAACCATTGCTGTTTTGAAATGGTACACATAAGCAGTACGAGTGTGGAAGGAATGTGTGCAAAGCCGATCATTGATATGCTAATAGTCCGAGGAAATAGTAGAGATGGCTGTAGTTCCACAACTTTTCATGATATGATTGACAATTTGCTAAACATGGGCTACAAATACAAATCAACACAATTTAGTAACGATGATACTCTGATAAAGGTAAGTTAGCATATTTGTAGGGATAAATGTTCACTGCGTAGCTCATTAACAAAGTTTATTTTTAGAAAGGATTCATTATTCACGTTTTTAAATGCTTCTACGGAAAAGACATAGAAGAGAGTAATTTCATTACATTACGTGAGTATCTTCGTACTCATCCTGATGCTCGTGATAAATATAATGAATACAAGAAACGTCTAATTGCCAATACCCCACACATGACAATCAAAGAGTACGCAAGTAGAAAGGACCGGTTTGTTAATGATTTACTTGAAAAAGCTGTTGAGTGGTACAGGCAACTCAAGAATTATGTTCACATTGGTGATTTTGATGAGGTAAAGAAGCAATGGTCATGTTGCAAGGCATTAAAAGATGAAAAAAGCACGATAGATGAAGGCATGATATCAGAAGCAGGTGGTTATATTGGCTGTTGTCAACCAGGACTACAAAAGGATAGCTATCATCCCGGACGATATTATAATACAGAATATAATTTTGTCAGAGGATGGTGGACATGTTGTTCCCAAGGCCGACATTCAAATGGATGTGTCAAGCTGAGATTATTGGCCAATGGAGATGGTAACAATTAGGCGGATTTTTTGCGTACATAACTTAAAAGTACTAATTTTCTCTTTTTAGTATTGCTGAGAGATTACGAGAAGTGGAGTATTAATAGTGTTTGTCGATGGGTAAAATCATTACAAGATATTAATAAGGATTATTCAGACAATTTTCGTGAACAAGGTGTCAATGGTCACTTATTATTAACATTAATAGACGATGCAGTTTTACAAGATTTAGGTGTATCGAGAGTTTTACACCGAAAACTATTTTTAAAAGCTATCGATGAATTGAAAGATGCACCATAGAACAATAACAAGCTGAATTTATTACCATTTAATCCGGATTAAAAAGTTTTACTGTTAGATCTAAAGGACTTCAGGCCGTACTTTTGATCATTAGTTTCTTTTGTCATTGTTTATGCTAACAGAAAATGCCTTTCTTTTCGCCCTATATTTTCATTTTCTATGTTTCTATTTATTTTGATCTTTTGGTACATATCCAAATGTCCTACGTCAATATGTTCAAGTACAGAGGGTGAGGGTGGTTTATTTGTTGCTACACTTGAGACATTGACAATTGAATTGACACAAGAAAAGACGAATGTTGTTCTACACCATAGACAAATGTTTGCCATCTTGCTTGAAATTTCCAGCATACGCCCAGTTGATATAACTAGTATTTTCATTCAGCCAGAGATCGAAGTGTTGATCCGGTTTCACGAAGAAGATATCATAACCATAGGTACCATCGATAGCAAGTGGCACTTCAGAATTTTGATGAATCGCCCGGCCACTAGTTCTTGCATTGTGTGCAATGACGACAGAATAACCAAGATATTTCTGTCGAGCCTGTCTCACGAAACTCGTGGTGAAATCTGATTTGATCTGATTGCCTTATTCCAGTCTGAATTTGTGAAGATGCAGGCAAAATTCACCACCGTCACTTGATGATTCTCAACGAACGCTTCCTCTGACAAAAGCAAGGTTTGTTCTTGTCCGCCACTGAACTGAACAAGTCTGTAGCACGCGTGAAAACGAAATGGCTTTTACTTGGAAGAAATTTGTAATTTGTGAAGGACGAACGACTGATGGTTATCCTCTTACTGTTCTCCTCCTTTCAAAGGACATGTATTGTTTCTGCACGTCATAAGGAGCGAAACAACAAACTTAGATGAATAGAAAGAGAAACAATCGTTGTTTATTATCGTCGTTCGTTTGCACTCGTTCTCCTCGACGGTGATATTTATTCTTTCTTCACCATCCTGTGTTCAACCCTGGACATGTTCTACTCTGCGCGTGTAGAACACAAAGAGAACGACGATTCAGTCACACTGTCAACAAAAGAAAGAATACGAATGGATTGTTCGTCTTCTTCAGTGCTTGACGACCTAGTGAAGAAGAGAAGAGAGGTCACTGTGATCCTTGTTGACTGAATCGAATCTTGTCGAGAAGTGAATGGAGAGAATGACCGATGTTGTTTCACTGAAATCGATCAACCCTTGGTCAATGACTGTGACACTTTACAATGAGAAATATCGTTTCATCACTTTGTTCAGAGTCCATCCTCTTAGATCAGATCGATCGCGTCGTCCGTTCCCCTCAAAAGTGGACGAATATTCTTCAACCAAACAATCTGAGGATCACACCTGTTTGAAAATTACCTGTTTGAAAAAATCTTGCTTTGCGTTTCTTATTGGCTGAGACTTCTCAGAAATAGTGACGCAGTAAACAAATGATGAAAGAGAGAGAGAGAAACAACCGAAATCATTTAAGAAATACGAAGTGACTTTTACTTCACTGAACAGAATTCTAAGAGACTATTTTTTCTTTTTCGTGTACGATATTGATATATTTATTCATTTTTCGCAGTTCTCGTGATGACAGTCTGTGGTCAGAATTTAAACGAGGAAGCGATTGAAGGAAAAATCTCTCTTCGAATCTGTACATGTACTGTTTTCAAGTATAATTTTTAATTCAATATTATTCGATTATGTTCAGAGAAAATAACATATTTTAATATACTAAAATAAGATTATCGGCAACTAAATCGAATCTAATTGAGTGTTGAATCATCAATCTGGCGCCATCGGCTCGTCTGTTGGAAATCGGGTTTGTTTGACAACGATGGCATAAAATGCTATTTATAGATGCCAGTATTGCGAATTTAATAACTATGGTAAATAATGACCGCATGGAATGAGAAGTATTAAACAGTCAAAACCATACTCCATTTTAGATGTAAAGTTATGGTTAAATTTAGTAAAGGAACTAACAAAAAATGGATATCAGCTGGACAGGCGATATATGCAACGTTTCGTTTTCAATTATCGTTTGAAGTTATGTATGTTAATTGAAATGAATGCATTAAAACAGCATTCCATTTTTACCTTCTAGTTTATTTTTTCCAAATCAGTGATATATTTAATCAAAAATCACCAAATATCAATGTTCAGCATACTGAACATCGATTCTGCGTCATCATAATATACTGAATATCAATATACCCCTGAACGATTTGATTAGACGAATCCCGGCAACTTGTCTCCTGGTAAGATGCCTCCTGGACACTTGCCCCCAACGTTTTGCCTTCCGAACATTTGCTCCCCGCGGACACTTGCCTCCGCGGAAAGTGACTAAAGCGGACATTTCCCCCGCCACTTGTGTAGAGCACTTTTCTCTCAACTATTTTCAAGAATTATCAACTCTTCTATTTAATTTAGCATCTCTTTTCATAGCATACATAAATCTGGAATCACGAGCTTCAAACAACAAAAATCTGAGTCGAAAAATAGTTTCAATAAATTATTTCAAATATTTATTTACATGCAGAGTTATTGTTAGCAACTAAACAGTTTAAGACTTTTTCAATGAAATATTGTTAGCAATAGCCAAAACTTTTTCTATATTAGACATTGTTTGTTCATTAAGAATATTCATAATTCGTTTTTTCTGTCGTTCTGTTACTCGACTTTTTGATTTTCTGAAGTCAGCTTGAATCATTTCCTTTAGTGGTTTCCATGTTTGTATTCTTTACAGTGAAATGTGATGTGACTATTGATAAGTTGATAGACAGTATCAACGAAAATAAGAGAAATCGAATTATTATCAAAACATGTCTATAGATCTATCCTTTCTCTAGCAGCATTTTTTTTCTATTACATTCCGTTCTCTTAAGAAATGAAAACACTATTTCAATCTACTCTATGAGCTGATAAAATATAGAAAGAAAAGCCAAAGAAGAAATATAAAACAGTTAAAATATCGCCATCAATACACTCTTTAAATAGTCTCACTTCTTAATAAATTTTCTTATGCATTCATATCGAACGTTAAATCGCTAAGGTTCGGTAAAACCGGTAAAACGGTAACGGTANCCATCTTAACTTCATTTTACACTTTACACAAATAATCTGAACTCTCACGTCGCTCTAGTATTTTGCCAGAAACAGAAAAAAGGTTCGAATATTTTCGATTTCGAATAATCGAAGTTCGATTATGTTCGATTTCGAATAATCGAATTTCGATTAATCGAAATCGGTGCATGCCTAGTTATGTAGAAATGATTCACAATATCAGTTTATTTGCTGAAAGAAAAAAACCATGCCATCTGTGGAATCCCTGAACAGCATTATTCTCATTTAGCATAATAAAGTTACATTAGAGAAGAACTGAGTATATCTTTTATACGTCCATAAATGAACAGTTCAAGAATTCTAAATACCTCTTCATAGTGTTAATTATTTTGATGCTTCAACGAAGTTATAAGAATTTCTGCTTGTGATAGCAGTATTTGTACTCATTGAGGATCAAGAACAGAGTGCTGGGAAGAAAACTGTAACAGTCCAGAAGAAAAAGAACGGAGACACAGCCGTTTTTTCTCTTCTAGTTCTGATGAAAATGAGATTTAATATATATTTATTTAATACCTATCAAAAAAAACAGCTGTCTACATATTGATATATACATTAAGCAAGACTACTCGACAGCGATCTGAGTACCATCTGTAAGCCAAGTGCGTTCTCTTCTTTCTATCATTCACAGATTACCGAATACTAGCAGTAATTTTGTTGCAGAACTTTCGGGCTTTAATAATATCTTCCTTGAATTCAAATCAGTCAAAAGCTTTTCTTACGAATTATCGCATTACTTGGCATAAAAGATAGGACTGCTGATGAATCAGTGCCGCTTTATCAATACAAAGCTCGTGAACGTTCCGTTTTGATTTCCAATGCATTTTGTTGAAATTGAACGTACTTTGCCGATTGTTTCACGTTGAGTAGAGATATTAGATTCGATCTTGCCTATTTTGGCATGAAGCTGCAAAACCGCCGTTATGTCGGCATCGCAGCGTGCCGTAAGCATTGTTAATACACTTGTTCAAATAGAGCTGGGTTACTCGTGTAAATCCATCTGCGGTTAGAAATTGAGCAAATAAAATGTGGCCACCTTTTATACCCATAGCCCGACACGATCCGATTGAACATTCTACAAAAAAGAAGCGCTCAGTTCTCACTTGATGCTGACGTTTTACAAAGAGAAAATTTTGAATCAGTGTGGAACCTTTTTTGTCTTGAAGATTCTGTCATCGGGTAATTTTTTAGAACCATTTGCTCTGAGGAACCTTTTGTTGGTTCTGCACGTTCGGTAGAACCATCAAAAACGTTTTATCATGTGCGCCAAACTCTTTAGAGGCTTGTACCGAACCTTAAATGGTTCTGTCGAAAACTGAAACGTTTTTTTCCGGGACCATTGAGAAAAATTTTTCAAAAAAAGTATTGTAAAACAGTATTTTTCTGATTGACAGAGCCATCTAAGGTTCGGTACAAATTTCAACAAGGTTTGGCGTAACATGTACTCTGCATGATATAGATGATCTTATTTTGTGTGACTTGCATGTTCGTTGAAACATAGCTGATTGTGAGTATTTCCTGACGTCGAGCACGAATATGATATCTGTTTTTTCTGTTACTAGAACTTTCTTGGTAGATCTCTAAATCTGTATCTTTAGGGATCCGTACAGCGAACCAATTCTGAAGGATATGTAATGACTTGTACAATTTCTTTGTGATCATTTTCTGTGTTTTTTAAGATAAAGGTTTGCAAAATAATATTAAACGAACATTCGGGTAACACACTAATCTAGCAACATGCTTTATCATCTCCTAATCTTATATCTGATGATAATCGCGAATTCATATTCTGGCAAATTTCTGTTTACTGATGCAAAAATTCCGAATTCCGATTCCAGTCCATCGCTTCATTCCGCTCCAGCCGTGTTGTATGTTTGGGCGGGGCAGAACACTTCTGTCAAGAATGCTGCCGATTTTGTTGCCGTAGTCGATTTTGACGAAAAGTCTGGTACATATGGACATATTCTGAAAACTGTGCCGCTTGTCTCGGACACCTTTGCTGGAATTAAACAAACAGGAAACGAGCCACATCACTCTAGCATTTCTGCTGATGGTTGCTATTATATCACAGGTGGCCTGCTCAGTTTTCTCACGGGACATAAAGAGGTGTTTGTCTGGCGCATTCCTAAAAATCCCACTGCCGGTCCCAAATTCTTGTACGCACTCGATGTACCAGGTGCGTGTACAGACGAATTTTTACCAATTGATGATGCTAATTTCATCGTGAGCATGATGTGCAATGACCGTGCAATCAGTCCTGGCGATATAGCATTCATCAACGCGAGAACCCGCTTCACAAAATCGTTCCTGAAGAATGCTTCAAGATTGCATGGTTTTAATCCGCATGGGTATGGTCGTCTTAACAATGGTTCCCTCTTTGTAGGGGATTATACAGAACCGCTCTCATTGGTAGGTACCGATCCTTCGCGGATTGTGTTTCGAAATACCGTTCGACATTTTCTACCAGATGGAAGATTAGAGCGTATTTTCCACGTGCCGTTCCCCACCGATCCGGAATCGTCAAGCGGAATCGGACATGGAATCGGATTCATGGAAGTAAAAACCATTCCGCATGATCCCTTGGGACGTTCCTATACATGTGGAACCAGTGTGAACAAGATGTATCTAATTGGGCCAGGCATGGCTAAACCTTTGTTTGTTTTGGATCTCTCTCAAGTCAACGGGTTCCGGAGACGCGCCAGTGCGGGAATCGCATCGATGTTTCCTGATGGAAAGCGTATGTTGGCGACATTCCAAATGCGATTTATTCTCTTGCTCAATATTACACAACCAGAACATCCGCAAATCATTCGGGTATTTGATTTTTGCTCTGATAAGGCACTTGATCACGTGCCGATTCGGGTTCCCGATTCACATAAAACTACCACATTTGCCCGCTTTTGTGCCCAAAACAACAATCTTACTGGTACGCACGTCCTTATTCATCCGAAAGGAGAAAACCGATTCATCGTTATCAATTATTTTCTCAAGTTTGGTATGGCATAATTTATAGGCACACGCACAGTACACGCATTCAAGCTAAACAAAGAGTTGACCGATTTCAAATATGATCACAGATTCAATCCAAACTTTCATGATCCAACAAGCAAAGGTCCAACATTTCATTCGCTTCGAGCATTTCCGCACCATGCTCAATATTTGAAGTTGCATTAGCCGTATAACAATATAAAAGTTTTTTGTTGAAGTCCTTTGGACTTGAAACGTAATACTGGCACTCTCATTTTGTCTAATGTTAATCATCTGAATGTGATATTACATCGCGAAGTAAGATATCGTCATCCAGTGTGAATTCTATTAGCTAATGAAAGTTAGTGATACATCTCGACAGTTCAAAGTTGGTTTTATTTTTTCCTTTAATTAATTACAATATTAAAACCGTTTCCTCTTTTCCTTGGATTAATTTAGAAATGATGAATACTAATTACGTACCAGTAAGATTGTTGTTTTGGGCACAAAAGCGGGCAAATGCGGTAGTTTTATG